CGCCCCCAGCCACAGCAGCCTCAACCTGCTGGGCTCCGGCGATCCTTCCACCTCAGCCTTCCAAGTAGCTCGAACTACAGGCGCGCACTACCATGCCTGGCTCTTTTTTTTTTAATTTATTTATTGTAGAGATGAGGTCTCGCCAAGTTCCCCAGGGTGCTCTTGAGCCTGTGGAGTCAGGCAATCCATTCATCTCAGCCTCCCAAAGGCACGAGATTGCAGGCTGAGCCACCGAGCCTGGCTTTTTTTTTTTTTAATCAATATTTTTTATTATGATATTGTGGGGTACAGTTAAGGGTTAGGTATGCAAATATGGTTCGTTCAGGCACCCTTGTGGATAAGAGGTGTCTCCCCATCCCCAGACAGATATTTACCACTGTTAATCCCATCTCCCTTCCCCTCCCCGGCCCCATAGTTTCCCACCACTGTCAGTCATTTTGTTATAGTATTACATTGGATATTCAAGGTCCACTACAAGCCGGGCTTGGTGGCTCAGCCTGTAATCCCAGCACTTTGGGAGGCTGAGGTGAGTGGATTGCCTGAGCCCGCGGGTTCGAGACCCACCTGGGCAACTTGGCGAGACCTCATCTCTACAATAAATCAAAAAATTAGCAGGGCATGGTAGCGCTCACCTGTAGTTCCAGCTACTCGAAAGGCTAAGGCGGAAGGATCGCCGGAGCCCAGCAGGTCGAGGCTGCAGTGGCCAGGAGCAGCCACTGCACTCCAGTCTAGGCGATGGAGTGAGACTTCAACTCAAAAAAAAAAAAGTCCACTATATGAGTGAGAACATGTGATACTCAGATCTTTGTTTCTGTGAGAGGTCACTCAGTATTATAGATTCTAGTTCCATCCAGGTTGCTGCGAAATTCATGATTTTGTTCTTTTTTATGGCTGCATAGTATTCCATCGTGTATATGTAATGCATATTTTTAATCCAGTCCTCTTTTGATGGGCAACATGGTTGCTTCCAGGTTCTTGCTATTGTGAACAATGCTGCGATGAAAATACGTGTGCAGATATCTTTCCTAAAGAGTGATTTGAGTTCTTCAGGGTATATTCCCAGTAGGGGGATTGCGGGGTCATAGGGGAGGTCAATATTTAGAGCTTTTAGGAATCGCCATACTGTTTTCCACAGAGGTTGCACTAGTTTGCATGCCCACCAACAGTGTAGAAGTGTTCCCTTTTCGCCACACCCTCTCCAGCAACTGTTATTTTTTGAGTTATTGATAATTGCCATTCTGACTGGAGTTAGGTGGTATCTCAGTGTGGTTTTGATTTGCATCTCCCTGGTGATTAGTGAGGTTGAACATTTCTTCATGTGTCAGGTGTCTGCTCGGATGTCTTCCTTTGTGAAGTGTCTGTTCATATCTTTTGCCCATTTTTAATGGGGTTATTTGTTTTTTTCTTTTCAGCACGTTTGAGATCCTTGTAGATCCAAGAAGTTAAGCCTTTGTCAGACCTGGAATTGGCAAATACTTTTTTCCAGTCTGTAGGCTGTCTCCCTGCTCTCTTGATGGTTTCTTTGGCTTTGCAGAAGCTTGTCAGTTTAATGAGGTGCCACTTGTCTATCTTATCTCTTATGGCCTGTGGGTTTCGGGTTTTCTTCAGGAATTGGATGCCAGTTCCAATTTCCATAAGGGTATGTCCTGCATTTTCTAAGGTTCTTATGGTTTGAGGTTTTACATTTAGGACTCTGATCCATGTAGAGTTAATTTTTGTGTATGGGGATAGATAGGGGTCCTGTTTCAACCTTCTGCATGTGGTCAGCCAGTTTTCCCAGCACCATTTACTGACTAGGTTCTCCTCTCCCCAGTGGTAGGTGGTGGAGGCTTTGTCAAAGATGAGTTGGTTGAGAAACTGAGGTTTTGCTTCTGGAATCTCAATTCTATTCCATTGGTCTATATGCCTGTTCCTGTACCAATACCAAGCTGTTTTGATTATTGTAGCTTTATAGTAAAGTTTGAAGTCTGGTAATGTGATGCCACCTGCTTTGTTTTTTTGTTTTTTGTTTTTTTTTTTTTGCTGAGGGTTGTTCTGACTATTCTTGGTCGTTTGTGTTTCCATATGAATTCCTGTGTTGTTTTTTCTAGGTCTCAGAAGAATATTGCTGGTAATTTGATGGGTATTGCATTAAATCTGTAGATTGCCTTAGGTAAGATGGACATCTTCACAATGTTGATTCTTCCAATCCATTAGCATGGGGTATTTTTCCACTTTTTGTGTCATCTTTGATTTCTTTGAGCAGTGTTTTGTAGTTTTCATTGTAAAGGTCTTTCACGTTTCTGGTTGGGAAGATGCCAAGGTATTTCATTTTTTTTGTGGCTATTGTGAATGGAATAGTGGTTTTTATTTGGGTTTCTGTTTGTTTATTATCGGTGTAAAGAAATGTGATTGTGTTTTGCACATTTATTTTATATCCTGAGGCTTTGCCAAAGTCCTTTATCAGTGTAAGGAGGTTTTTGACAGATTCTCTTGGTTTTCAAGGTACACACACAATCATGTCATCTGCAAAGAGAACCTTGACTTCCTCTTTTCCTATTTGGATACCCCTGATTGCCTTCTCTTCTCTGATTGCTGTAGTCAGGACTTCCAGTACTGTATTGAACAGGAGGGGTGAAAGTGGGCATCCTTGTCTTGTTCCAGTTTTCAGGGG